ACGACTGAGTGAACTCCGTTGCAATGTGGCATAGTGGTAGCGTCATTCGATTCCCGTTTTGGATACTGATGAGAACCTGGCGAGGTGGAAACCGCTGTAAACTCTGGAAGAGAAGGCCTTTCAGGATGTAAGGCCCTCTGAAATTCAATAGCATGGTAATATCTACCCATATAATTGTTAGAAAAGTCAACTATCCATCGTTCACCACCTTACGACCTAGGATGAATAGAGCTCTTACAAAAGAAATAACCCTAATATTGGTATACCGAAAAGACAGATAAATCGAAGAGCATGAAAGATTATTACATAATGGCATGAATATAAAGCAACTCATTTTTTGATATCCCGAAAAATTAAACGTCTAGAGAAAAAGTAAGGGCCATGATCTTAGTCGAAAACACTAAGTATAATATTAATAGCAGGTCCAAATCCGAGACTCAGTAGCTAATAGTTTAAACTCACGATGGATGACTGATTGACTTACTATGATTGGGTAAAACTAAGACATTTGTGCTAAGGAGGTCAGCAAAATAACGGTCATTTGACTTCCTGAAAAATTAATGAGTTTATGCTTGTAATACGAGGGGCATTAAAACTGGACACCATTATCATAAAAACTGTGAGACTACAGTTCTTTGCACTCATAATCTTATAAAAGAAGGAAATATCCCAAAACCTAAATCGAGAAATTAAATGGGGGATTAAAAGGATAAGAAGCTAGGACAATTGAATTAATGATGCGAAATGGCCCAAATTTAAAGCATACCTTTTATGGGTTCCAAATCAGAAGGTTCGGGAACTTTATCATGGTAAATGAAATCGTTATCACGTTTCAATGATCCCAACCTAAAATGATATTAAGGATAAAATTAGACTGAAAATAAGATTGGAAAGTTTATATAAATATTGTTTGAGGCATTTCAATAAAAATTCAAATAGGTTCTATTATATTGATCATCCTATTCAAAGAGTGGTAAAACTAATAATTGTTCAAAAATAGGCCTACAAATAGCAGTATAAACATTGATGGCAATAAATAATGGAATTATATAATCTCAAATGGATTGAATAACACAAGCTTTTGATAATTATACCCTTTATTCAAAATAGATAAATATTAAATAAATTATAACTCACTTGGCCCTGACGATCTCTAATGCCGCTGTAATAGCGGACCTAAGTGATCCAACTTCAGAGAGAGCTGATACAAATCCTAGAGAACTTGAGTCAATCTCTGCCATCCCATTGGCAGAAACATCTTTAGCTAGTTTCTCGGCATCACAAAGCCTCTGTTCGGCAAGTCCAATCCAAGTCACAGCTATGCCATGCTGGCCATCTAACTCATTAACAGCCAAACCACTGTGATATGCAGTCAGAGCCAGATAGTATGCAGCTTTGGCTTGACAACGCTTACGCCAGTCCTAAAGATAGGGACAACACAATAAATACGGAAAAATGAAAGCAAAGCTGAAATCATAGTAGTGGAAAATTGTAAAATTAGACAAAAACATTAACGAGTTAAAATTTAAATTAAGTGTGCTAAAAATAAGTAAATATGCCAGGAAATTAAGTTTATTGGATAGAATAATTGTCAAAGGTGGAGCAAACTAGAAAACAACTATGATGAATCACAAAGCTGTCGTGCATGTTCATGCGAACCTATTATATCCATCAATGCAAATTAATCAGTTACTTTGTATTTTAAAAAATTAAATTACGCAAGTACTATACTTGTACTGAGTTACACCAAGCCTGAGACTTGCAACAGAAATTAAATATACTTCGCATTTTAAGTATTGTTTCGAAACTACCAGTAAATCAGTAATATGAGATGTATTCACCCATTTTCGTGTAAGCTGATGAAGGACTGATAGAAGAATTTTCCCACAATGATATGAGTAGAGCTGGCTTTTCCATTAAATTTCACATAGCCTTGCTTTCCCAAAAGTTGTTCTCACCCAGAGTGGACTGCAGTTTCGACCTCGCATCGGTCTTATCAACACCCCCAGCAGAAGTCGAACCGTGACAGTGAAGAATGGGAGCTTGACACGTTAACAACTCA